CTCCTTCTCAGGGCAGGCACAGACTGAGCTGCACAATACCCAAGTGCCAGAGATCCTGACCAGAGCCCCCATCTCCTGTCACTGGGCCTCCTTCTTAGGGCAGGCACAGACTAAGCTGTGCTGAGTGAGGCAGAACTCTGTATTGGTGAGGCAGCTGTTCCTGCCCTCCCAGAGTGGCCTCGGATATGCCATGAGGAGGGCTGAGTTTTTAGTGGCTAGAGTTGGACTCTGAGGCTACAGTGGAAGAAACAAGTAAACCTGCAGTGTGGATGAAGCTGTGGCCTTGGTGACCTCCAGGGTCCCTGCCCGGGATGCGCGTATGGAGTCCCTCTTCAGTTTCCACCGTTCTCGCTCCACCTGTCAAAGTGTGAGGGAGAGATCATGGCTTGGGTTGGCTCCAGGCTGAAGTAGAGCTGCCCTGCTCCAGAGGAGGCCAGTGCACATCTGAACATATGTGTAAGTGGACAGAAGCCATGGGAGAAGAACTCCTGGGCCAAGGCTACTCATGCTAGGGCAACCCTGAGTACAAAGCCAGCCTGGCCTTTGGAGAGGTCAGCAAACTTCCTCTGTAGTGAGTATTGTAGGCTTTGTGGACCATTCCATCTCTCCCACAACTATTCAACTACCCTGTGTATCAGGGGAGCAGCTATAGACAATGCTTGGCTATATTCCAATAAAATTTAATTTTCAGAAACAGGCAATGGGTTGGGTTTGGTCCACAGGCTATAGTTTACTGACCTCTGCTCTGGGGGCTGCATGGGAAGGGGAGATCTATACCCACCAGACCCCAAAGGAGGGAGCTGAGGACAGCAGATGCTACTTACCTGCTCCAAGGTGGTCCGCAGCTGGATGTTGTGGTGCTGCAGCCTGCTCCGGTCAATCTCCAGCCATGCCACCGCATGCTGCAGGTGTTCGAGCCTTTGTCTCCATGGCTGCTTCTCCTCCACTCCTGAGAACTGAGGGAAAGACCTGTAAATCCCCCCTAGGCAGCCCTTTAGATAGGTAGAGGAACAGATAGAGGGAAAAGGGACAAATCTGGCAGGTCTGAGCTTCAGAAACCCAATTCCCAAGAGAAGAGGACAAGCCCCTGGACAGAAGGTCCTCCCTGGGTCATCTCTTCCCTCCAGGCTCCAGCTCACCTCCCCCAGCTGCACTCCCTGCTCTCCACTGGACACCGGTTCTGCTCTGCGGGCTGAGCCTGAGCTGTATAGACGCTCCTTCTCCAGAGCTTGCCTGGTGAGCTCCAGCTCATCCTGGGGGAAGGAGGAGTAGAACAAAATCATACCGTGCCAACTTCAAATCCATACCCACTCTACCCTCCATCCTCATAATAACCACTTCAGTTTTCTCATCAGATTATAGTCTTATTTTTCCAGGAGACTGCGCTATTTTAGTCCAAAATGTTCATTTTCTAGATGGATAAAACAAAGGAGCAGAGAGGGATCTACTCAAGGATACAAGGGTAAATAGCAAATGAGCTGGGACCAGAGTCCAGCATCTTATTTTGGAGCTCCCATAAAGCTAAGAAATAACTTGGAGCAAAGATGTGATATAGAAAGAGTAGGGACTCGAATCACACAGGGCTGGGTGTCAAGTCAACACTTACTGGCTATGATTCTGATCAAAATATGAGCTCTCCCCACACCCTAATTTCCTCACTTATAAAATGACTACCTGCACCATGAGAACAAATTAAGCCCTCAGGGTTAAATCATTTTAGATTAGTTGGGAAACCTGATGCTAGATATTTTCCAGGACCCCTGTTTCATAAATGATAATGGTCAAGAAGACGGGACAAGAGTATGGGGGTGCAGGTTGTTTGGGAGAGGAAGAGCTCAGTGGTAAAAAGCCTGAGCTCTAGAGATACATCACTCAGATCGAATTCTAGTTTTGCCATTTACTGTCTGACTTTGGAGAAGTTACTTAACCTCTCTGAACTGACATTCCTCCACTACATAATAAGGATAACAGGGCCGGGCTTGGTTGCTCATACCTGTAAGCCTAGTATTCTGGGAGGCTGAGATGGGTGGATCACTTAAGCTCAGGAGTTCAAGACCAGCCTGAGCAACAGCAAGACCCCATCTCTACTAAAAATAGAAAACTTAGCCAAGTGTTGTGGCAGGCACCTGTAATCCCAGCTACTTGGGATGCTGAAGCAAGAGAATCACTTGAGCCCATGAGTTTGAGGTTTCTGTGAGCTGTGACACCACGGCATTCTACCCAGGGTGACAGAGTAAGACCCTATCTCAAAAAACAAAACAAAAAACCAAAATAAGGACAATAGTTCCTACTTTTTAGGGCACTAGTAGAAGAAAGTAACACTGCTTGGCACATAAAATGCTTAAAATAAAAAATGACACTACTGTGATGCAGGGCTGCATATGACAGATGTCCCTGAGTGTTTGAAGGGGGGAGCAGGTGAGTTACACTCTTGAGTGAATACTGCTCAGCTACATACTTAACTCTCACTGTGTCTCTAAGAATAGGTCTAGAAATAAGAAAGAAGTTACACTTACTAGGTGCTTTTCTCCCAAGCACTTCATAGCCATTTTGGTCCAGAACCTTTATTTTATAGATGGATGAAATAAAGGGAACAGAAAGGGATCTACTCAAGGATATATGCTAACTCATCTCATGATTATCATTTCCTATTTTATAAATAAGAAATCAAGTTTCAGCGGAGTAAAGTCCCCTAGCCAGGGTTGCATAGCTAATAAACTACAGAACTAGGAGGCACCTGTGGCTCAAAGGGGTAGGGCGCTGGCCCCATATGCTAGAGGGGGTGGATTCAAACCCAGCCCTGGTCAAAAAAAACTGCAACAAAACAAAACAAACAAAAAATTACAGAACTATTTTTTTGTCTATTTGTTTATTTATTTATTTATTTATTTGAGACAGTGTCTTACTCTGTCACCCTGAGTAGAATGCCCTGGCATCTAGCTCACAGCAACCTCAAACTCTTGGGCTCAAGAGATCCCCCTGCCTCAGCCTCCCAAATAGCTGGGACTATAGGCATCTGCTTTTTTTTTTTTTGAGACAGGGTCTTACTTTGTCGCCCTCGGTAGAGTATTGTGGCATCACAGTTCACAGCAAACTCCAACTCTTGGGCTTAAGCAATTCACTTGCCTCAGCCTCCCAAGTAGCTGGGACTACAGGCAACCACCCAACGCCTGGCTATTTTTTGGTTGTAGTTGTCATTGTTGTTTTGCTGGCCTGGGCTTGGTTTGTACCCACCAGCCTCGGTGTATGTGGCTGATGCTGTAACCACCGTGCTACAGGTGCTTAGTCCCCTTTTTCTTTTGACATAGGGTCTTACTCTGTTGCCCAGGCTAGAGTGCGGTGGTGTCAGCCTATCTCACAGCAACCTCAAATCCTGGGTTCAAGTGATCCTCCTGGCTCAGCCTCCCAAGTACCTGAGATTATAGATGCCCCCTCAGTGCCCAGCTAGTTTTTCTACTTTTTTCTTTTTTTTGAGACGGAGCCTCAAGCTATCCCCCTGGGTCGAGTGCTATGGCATCACAGCTCACAGCAACCTCCAACTCCTGGGCTCAAGCGAGTCTCCTGCCTCAGCCTCTATAGGTGCTCGCCACAACGCCCAGCTATTTTTTGGTTGCAGCCATCATTGTTGTTTGGCGGGCCCGGGCTGGGGATTTGAACCCGCCACCTTAGGTGTATGTGGCTGGCGCCTTGGCCGCTTGAGCCATAGGCGCTGAGCCTAGTTTTTCTACTTTTAATAGAGACAGGGTTCTCACTCTTGCTCAAGCTGGTCTTGAACTCCTGGGCCCAAGCCATCCTCCCACGTAGGCCTCCCAGAGTGCTAGAATTACAGGCATGAGCCATCACGCCTGGCCTAAATCTAATCTCAAACACTACTTCTACTGGGAAGCCTTTGGGGACTCACTCCTGGAAAGGTTGGGCTCCAGCTCTTCCTGGAGCCTTCATAACTGCTCTTTGTGGTCCTAAAGCTCTCCCTGGTACTCCTGCAGTGTCAAGTGCCATACTGTGCTCCAAGTATGCTGAAGAGATACCCAACCTAACCTTTCCCTATTGGGCATTAACCACCATGCATCATAGTTGCTTATCAATTAGACTGAGCTCTGTGACGGAGGGACTGTGGGTGTCTTACACTCTTTGGGGGATACTGTGGGTATCTTACCTTTTTTGTATCCCCTAGACTAGCACAGCAGCTGAATCCCACTTATGTTGAAGTGGTTGTGGTATTAGCTCTAATACCCTCTGAGGTGCTATAAGACCCAGGGTGCAGGCAGAGCCTGAGCTCAGCCACATGGGGCTCTGTCACCTGCTCTTCATTCCTCTGGGAGGGACTTACCTGCAGCTTCTGTTGTTCTGAGTCCCGCTCCAGGATAGAAGCCTGTAGAAACATAGCTATCTCCTGCAGATTGCTGACACTGGCCTTGCTCTGGGCCAGGGACTGTGCCAAGTCCTGGGCCTTCTCCCTCCACTCAATCTCCCTGGCTTCTGTCTGCCTCAGGGCTGCCTGTAGCTGCTCTGGGTCCCGCTGTAGCCTGGGCCCTAAAGACTCAAAATTCAGAGATGGTTCCTCTACTGGAGAGGCCCTGTGGTGTGAGGCCTCCCTTAGCTCCAGGATCTCTTCCTCCTTTTGTGCTAGAGTCAGCTGTAGCTCCTTTAGCCTCTGATGAAGGCTCCTCATCTCTTCTTCCTCTCTCTCCTGACCCCAATTCTGCTCCTCTTGGTCCCTGTGGCCCAGATTCTCCAGTGGTTGCCCCTGTTCCTTCTGTTGTCTCAGCTCTTCATCCCTCTGGGCAAGTGCCTGCTGGAGCTGCTGCAGGTCTTCCTGATGTCGGAGACCCAGGTCCTGAATCTCACCTTCTCGCATCCTTAGGTCTTCCTCCAGCTGCAAGACACGTGCTGGGCAGGTGTCCAAGGTGGCCTGCAGTGTGGCAGTGCTGGCCTCCAGACTGCAGCTCAGTTCTGCCTCCCCAAGCAGATGCTGTTCTTTCTTCTGCAGTGCAGCCTGAGCCTTGCTGAGCGCCTCCTGCAGAGCCTCAGCCTGGCCCCTGGCAGCCTCTCCCTGATGCTGGAAGGACTTGCTTTCTACTTGAAGAGCCTCCAGCTCCTGCTCCTGTTCCTTAAGCATGGCCTTGGCTTTCAGCCAGCTGTCCTGTAGGGCCCTGGTCTCCACCTCATGCTCCTGTGCCTGCTCAGCACACTGTTGCTGGAGGGCCAACAGGGCCTCCTCCTGCTCCCGAGACTCAGCCCTCAGGTCCCCCAACACCTCCTCTAGGGCCTGCACTCGCCGTCCCTCTGCTGCCAGCTCTTCTTGGAGCCTTCGCACCTGCTCTTTGTGGTCCTCAAGCTCTCCCTGGCACTCCTGCAGTGTCGAGTGGGCTTGTTCCAGAGCTGCCTGCAGCTTGCTTGCCTTTTCCTTTGCACTCTCCTCCTCCTCCTGGGTCTGCCGCTGTTCCTGCTTCAGGGCCTCAAGTTCCTGGTCGTGCTGGGCCAGCGCCCTCTGGGCCTCTCCCAACTGAGCCTGAAGGGACTGCTCTCTAGCCTCCCTCTGCTCTCTGGCCTCCTGCAGGTGCTGCTGCAGGACCACTATCTCCTGCTCTCGCTGTGTCAGGAGTAGGCTGGTCTCTCCCACTTTCCTGTGCAGGTCCTGGAGCTGCTGCTCCAGCTGGTCCTGGTGCTCCTGAAGTTGCTGGATCTGCTCCTGCTGGCATTCCACCTCCTTCTCCTTGTCACGCAGGATGAGCTTCATGTGCTCCAGGCTCCCACGCTGCACTTTACTCTGGCCCTTCCCTTCTTCTGCCCGCTCCTGCATCAGCTGCCTCTGGGAGGCCAGCTCCCGGCCTCGTTCTCTCAAGGACAGCTTGATCTGTTCTAGGTCCTCCTCTAGGATCTTAGTCTGCAGCGTTCTTTGATCTTCTAGAACCTGAATCCTCTCCTTCTGCAGCATCAGCTCCTGGTCCCTCCTGTCAAGGTCCTGAGTTAGATGCTCCTTCTGCCTCTGCAGCTCCTCGATCTGTTCTTGCTGACACTTCAGCTCCTCGTCCCTCTCCTGCAGCTCCCTAGCCAGAAGGGTGCTGTGGCTTTCCAGTTCATGGATCTGGCTGCTCTGTGCCTGCAGCTCCTGGCTCCTTTCTTCCAGGTCCAGAGTCAGGTGGGTCAAAGCCACTCTCTGCATTTCCCTCTGGCCCTCCAGCTCCTCAATCAGCTTTTGCTGGCACTCCATTTTGTGATGGTTTTCCTCCAGTTCCAGGGCCAGGCATTCTAGAGTAACCAACTGCTTTTTCAGATCCTGAACCTGCCCTCTCTGGGATTCAATCACTTTGTCCTTCTTCTCAAGTTCTACAAGCTGATGCTCCAAGATGTTCCTCTGAGTCTCCCGATCCTTCTCAAGCTCTTTGATCTGCTCGTTCTGCACAATCAGCTTCTGCTCTCGCTCCTGGACGGCCATGGGCAGGTGCTCTAGAACAGACCTACACTTCTCCAGCTCCTGAATCTGTTCTTGCTGCAGATTCACTTCTTGGTTCCTCTTTTTCAGGTCCAGGGACAGTAGTTCCAAAGCAGCCTTCTGCATTTCCCGCTGCTTCTCCAGTTCCTGGATTTCCCCCCGCAAAGTCTCCACTTCCCTATCTCTGTCAGAGAGGGTCTGGGCCAGGAGAGTCAAATTCTCTTGCAGGGCTTTCCCTTGGGCCACCTTCAGCTCGCCCTGCTCTTGCAGAGCCTGAGCTCTCTCACGTTCACTTGCCACCTCCTCGTTTTTCAGTTTCAGTGCTGAGCGAGCTGTTTTCAGGTCTTCCTCCAGGACCCCAGCAGCCTTTGCCTGAGCCTTGGCCTCTGCAATCGATGCTTGTAGATGCTCCACTTGGGCTATCAGGTTCTCCTTAGCCACCTGGAGTAACTCTTGCTCATTCTGGAAAACAAGATGCAAAACCACCTTAAACTATACTCCCCATACAGTCACTCCAACACTGGCCTTTCCCTTTCTTATTTTGTGGGACCAGCAGTGACAAGGACCTCATATATTCCATTTAAACTGATACTGTGAAAGAGCATCCCTCTGATATACCCAGGAAGACATAGTAGTACCAATGAGCCATCCTAGACTCTGGTACTTTAGGGCAAAGGATAAAAGTCTCAACCTCATGGCTGGGTGCAGTGGCTCATCCCTGTAATCCTTGCATTCTAGGAGGCTGAGGCGGGTAGATCGTTCGAGCTTAGGAGTTTGAGACCAGCCTGAGCAAGAGCAAGACCCTGCCTATACTAAAAATGAAAAACTTGCTAGGTATTACGGCAGGTGCCTGTAATTTCAGCTACTTAGGAGGTTGAGGCAAGGAGCTCACTTGAGCCCAAGAGTTTGAGGTTGTTGTGAACTGGGAGGGAGGCAGGGAGGGGTGAAGGAAGGAATCTCAACCTCAATTCAGAAAAATTATTTGAGGGATTCACTGGAACCTTAACAATGACTCTCACAGACCAGACATGGAGATAGCCAGAGGAACTGAGACTTGCTGAAGGAAGTTGGCCACATGACCATAGACCAAGGTGGGCCCAAGGGACTACTGAGGGGCAACCCCTCTGCCAAGCAGGACTGCTTTACCTGGGCTTCCATTTTTTGTAGCTCTGCTCGCTGTAGGCGACTTTGTAAAGATGCCACAGTTTCATGCAGTTCCTTCAGCTCAGACTCCAGGGTGTTCCGTTTTCCTTCCCACTTGGATTTCTCTTTGGGAAAAGGAGAAGCAGAGTGAGGCTCATGTCAGGGGTAGGGGAAAAGAGGGATGCAGAAGCAGATGGAAGATGGGGGACAGAATCGAAGGGGAAGAAGGCCAAGAAGGAGAGAATTACACGTGTCATAGAGATGTCATCTGTCTGCCAGCTGCTCCTATTTGTCTAGGCACCCTGCTGCTGCCAGCTCCAGCACTGCCAGTTCATCATCCTGACAATTCCTCATCCTCAACACAGAGAAACCCTCAGCCCTAGATTCCAGACAGGGTTTAACTCAATGACCCTGAAGGTCCTTTCCTATGACTTTGCAAAAGGCTCCTTTAGACCTGGTGGCTCTACTGGCTGCCCTCCATTGCTGCAATATGTGTGGCACCCAGCTCTATTTGTGTGGCTCTCAGAAAGCCCTTAAATGGCTTCAAAAAAGGTCCAGACCCACTCCTCAAGCTGTCCTTTTATATAGTAGCATTTTGGGCCTTAAGACTCTTCCTTTTCCTTTCTAAGTAGTCACCACCCTTTCAGCCCTTGGCTGTGGCAGAGATACATTCTACCCGAATTCCCCCTCCTTGCTTTTTCCTAAATAAACTCATAATTCTTCTGTCATCAAATGCTAATTTTCACGACACAGTGGGATATGATAAAATAAATAACATAGATAAATGACAAAAGATAAGAGTTTTATCATGTTTTCATAGTCCTAGCCTTGGGCCTCAAGTTTTTTTCTTTAATCTCTGGCAGAAAAAGAAAATGGAAGTCCAGCTTTCCTTTTTTTTTTTTTTTTTTT